CATTGACACGCTATGGCCATCTGACGCATGCGCAGGTGACGACTCCCTCGCTTTAAGACCGTTTTCATTTATGGGCACATGTTAACAATAGCTTCTTCTTTACACACTCGTGGGTTTTTCTCATTGGGATCACAATCCTTTTCGTCACTCTGGTCCAAGCAATCACAGATTCCATCACATTTACGGCATTTGTCCAAACACATCCCGTTGTCGCGACACTCGAACCACTCAATTCCCTTATCTTGTTTGTCTTTGAATGAGGATTTGCAATCCTCTGTTAACATAAAAAGAAAGGATTGTAAATCCACAATGTTGCATACTAATTACCTAATTTACATATATTTATGTATATTTGCATGATGGAAATCGTAGAAGAATTTCAGAGCAATTTAAACTTCATTGTGTGTGTTTGTGCAGGTTATTTTTTCTCGACCCTTATTTTTATAATCACCCACCAGCCGGAAACAGTAGTTCTCACGAACAAACCTCTTATTTCGGAGTTACGTGATTTGTATAATTGTTAATTTATGGATCTTGGATCTGTTTTAGTATTGCAACAATTTTCTCATTATAATTATCAAATTAGCGTAATTTTCTGTTTTTCAGTAAAGCTTACCCGCGTGTTTGGTTATGCATTCGTCACCAACTTCGTCGGAGCCATCATCGCAGTCAATTATAGCATCACATCTGTGACGTATTGGGATACACGCTGGTGAGCCACCGGCACAGTTGAACTTACGACTGTCGCTTACCTGTGCGCATACGCTTTCACCTGAAAAACAAACAAACAATGGTTTACAACGTATTGAAAAACGTGACCTATTTAAATCGTGTTTTCTATGAAACGTTACGTAGCTACAGTCGTTTGTCTTGATCCGACGAAGCGCCGTATGGTGGTACATTCGATCGCGTATAGTCCTCCTCTTGCGCTCACTCGCAATCGCGCCCTCATGCGAAGCGCTTCTGTTTCTTTTGCTTACACCACCCTGCCCCGTCGCCAAGGGCGCGAAAAGAAAGTTGGGTTTGGAGAGCTTCTTCAAAGATTTTATTTTATCTGAGTATTAGTTTCAGATACAATTCTACATCCACAAATTACTCGATCATGTGATAAATAAATTGTAATACTAATATGATTAATCTTACTCCATTGACGCTTAGATGCAATAAGCATAAGTCCTTCCAATTCCTTCAATTCAATGTCCCGTAAAATACTATCCACTTCCTTTTCTTGTTTAGTTTCGCTAGCATGGTACACGGCTGCTGCTGCCACGTACACGAGAACTGAGACTATTATCAGAGAGCGAATCATTGTGTCTGCAATAAATAACAAAGGATATAATTAATTGACATCACTTGATTATGTAGACAAATTGTTAGGTAGTAGAGATTTACATAATTGCAAAAACATTCCTTCTGTAACGTGTGTACTGTGAAGTACTTTATTTTCACTTGGAATTTATTCTCGCTATTTTTCCTGAGGATATGAATCAGTGAAAATAAATTGTTTCCTATATTTTACACACAACTCATTAAAAATCAGTGAAAATAATCTTCGTGGAAAAATGTCTTTTTCGTCAGCGAAAATTAATTCCAGCTAAAATAAAGCGTTCTATAGTATTTGAGGCGAGGGTAATACGTCATGTCCGCTAGCAATGAAGCGCTCCTGTGGCGTGAGAATGGTGTTGATGGGTACATGAGTGCGTAAATGATTTACATCGGCTGACACGCTTCCGGAGGATTAAAGGGCGGTGGTCGCCACGCCACGCATGTACGACATTTGTGCTGATAAACATTGATTTTCCCACAATCCAATGCGCTCTTCGAATGAAATCACGAGTACGAGTTTTGACCTGGGCGCGGCTTGCACTAATTACTACCGGTGACCCCTTCGATACTTTCCAATAACCAAACAAAAAAAATACCTAGTTGAAGTTTGGTAACCCCTCTGTTTGTACTCGTTGGTCTGCGCATGGAAGGTACCTTCCATGGTCTGTGCAACAGTCAAAGTCGCCATCTTTGTTTATATGAGACCCGCATCGCGCGCATGCGTGGCGCGACGACCACCGCCCTTTAATTTAAATTTCCACTAATGTTTTATAGTCGTTGGTCATCGTGCAATGTGCGTTGGAATTTATTGTAAACAAACAGTGTACTAGGATCTTACACGCGTACATGCGTTGCGTGTGTGAGGTATTTTTACCTCCATGATAGAGTGGCCCATATCGAACACGATCGCGTCATGACGACCAGGCGCCACCCTTCAGTATTTGTCCATAATTATGCCCACGCGTTCTTACTAACGATTTTATACGTCGTTTGCTTTGTTTTGATTAAAAAATGGACCCTAGGGTATCTTAATAGACACATGACAGAGGGACACTGCATTTTTGCAATCGCGAGATTCTTAGTCACCAATAAAACCACGTACTCTTCTCTGGGGTCCTGTAAAACCCATTGTTATTCTTGTCAATGCCAATGTTAATGGAACTAGGGTTGGTCGTTTATGTCCCAAGTACAGCGTTTTGCTTCACGGGTCAGACATAGCACAATGAATAAGCAACAACCTGCTAGCCATCGCGGTATTACTTTTATTAGCAAACACCTTTTTGTCAAAAGCTGATAACCTTGGTTCTCAGAGCAGTTTCGACAAACAAAAGGACTGAGAGAGAGTACAATCAGTCTTGTCCACACAAACCACAAAGTTTGACAACCATAGCAAATCACACAATGGATTGACCTTTATTTAGATCAGTCTCATGTCTATTTCACGTCTACATATCTCAGCGTAGAAATTGTTTGAACTGTAACTTTGCTTGCTTATCGGATTATATGACTGGCATAGATTCGACAAGAATCAGACAATCCTAACTCTTGGTTGATTGATCAATAACTTCGTTTTGGGGGCACCACAGGTGGACCAACAAGCCCTGTAGGTCCATGGTCATATTGGTATAATGGCAAACAGAGAGTGAGCCATTAGCACAATCCGATCCGATATGGGTCATGACATGTACATTTAACCTCAGACTAGTAATTGTATTACTAGTCTGAGATTTAACTATTTAAACCTATTATTTTTGAAAAAAAAGCTGAAATGAATTGTAAGGCTGAACCATTGTCCAATGAAAAATGGGTCGAGATTTTTGGGGGTCGAGATGTCTAATACCCTAGTTCATCTATGGTTCAATTAATGCCAAGATTTTGTCAAATACATGTAGTAACTTGAGCACTTTCATTTGTCCATGGTTTGTATTGCCCGTGATGTTTTCTGACTCTATACCACAAATACAGACGCGACTTATGATCACATTCACTGGAGCGTGTGAAGGTTCACGTGTTCCCCTGACAAGTCTATTTTACCATACTAGTAGTACATGTACTCTAGGGTATAGCATTTTACTGATTGTTCTTTGTGCGGGCCAGACAGTCCGTAGATTTGTCTAATCGCCATATTGTATGAACGTTGATGAATATTACTAATGGAATTATAAATAATTTGCATATATGTCGAATGCAGCCAGTAGAATGTCCACATCGCACCACCACTTATTATTGGATGAGTTTGAGCGTACTTTGGGCAAAGCATTGAGGTAAAAAAGAACTTCCATGGGCAAAGCGACACAGCCATCTTGGACCGAACCATTTTATTGTGGGCGACAATGCGTTAAACAAATGTTATTGCTCATCATATTACACGGAAATGAAAATTTATTTTCTACTATTCAAGTGACAGGGACTCTCTCGTATTCCATATAAGACACTGGCACAAATTTAATTGAGATAGACCCCGAGTTAGACTGCAACGTTTGAAATAACGTTGATCTGATCTTTTTATGTAGCCTTGATAAAGTTGATTCATTAAAAGTGTCTAAAAATAACCCAGTATTGCATTCTATTCTACAATTGTTAAAAAGAAATCGTGTCTTGCCACAACTGAAGACACAGTGCCATTATTACCTACCACCCACGCCAAACTTGGAGGAGGGCGCCGTTTTCTGATCTAACAAAGGCACAAAACAAAATAAGTATGTACCGATGTATTCATGTATCGGCATGTGATCACTTAGAGGAGACTTCACTTTTACACAAAAGAACTCCTTTCGATCGCAAGAAACTATTATATTGAAGACAACCAGACTATTGACTGTTTTGACCAATCCATTATCATCACCGAACGGTCTGATTCATGGCACTTGAGAGCGGTAAAATACATTGCAACCAACCTTCAACATAGCATGGAGCATTCGTATTACCTCCATGAACATAGTAATGCTATTGGAGCGTTCATTTGCCGTCATTCCGGGTCACTGTCGATGGAAACAAGAACGATATTCTTCGTACATTTACGTTTCTTGATTGTCCACAGACCATATAGATTGAACGACTGTAGTTTGTCTCAGCACTGAGCTTTGAACTCGTGTTTATTAACTCTTTATATATGTACTTTATTGTAAATAGGGGTACTTTTCATACGTACACATGTACTCAAAATCCTTCCAAGGATGAAATATCTAATATAGTAAGTTTGCTTTCTTTCCTAAACGTTATGGTTACCACCCCAAGTTCGTTTGTCGGATTGTTGTTTTGTTTAAACAGGTCCACACTTGATTTAAACCAAGGTTAAAATGTGTGTTTTTTTCGCAAATCTTTCCATGTGTAAAAAAATAGATATACGTCTATTAATTTTGATATACATGTACTGCGTGTGTATAAACAATTTATAGCGTACTCACCTATTGTAGCTGTGCGTGTCTTCTGGTGTAGATGAACTGTTCTGCAACGCTGTCGGAGCGCGGTGTGTTTAGGTGAACCTGAGCAGAGAGGGCGTGGAAGACTGAACTACCGAGGGGCGTTCAACCTGTAGTGGCGTTCTACACAAAGGCAGGCGAGATCATTTACATGTAAAAGCCGCATAAATTATCTCCATATGAGGTTGACGACTTAATATAAATTATGCTTCGTATTGTCTTCAATTCAATTCAAGATGTAACATATGCGAAATAACGACTGCGTGAAAACAAATAAACACATTCTGTTTATTAGCCACATATAATTACATGTCGACGAATCGAATAGCCAGGAGACTTGACCTGAAACCCGCTAAATTTATAGTGTTAGTGGTGGGTTATAAATCACTGAGGAGGGGACAAACATGTTTCTAGTTTCACAATATATGTGACTGAATTGGCAAGACATATCACGCGATTTTGACAATTCTCAAAATATGACAGATAATATGTGAATTAATTGCCGGCATGAAAATTCTGTTAATTTTTAAAATATTACAGCGCCGTAGTTTTGGGGTAACTGGCGGGGAAGGGGATATTCCCCCATCACTCGGTGTCGACATCTATCAGTTTGTGCCTCAATTATATCACTGGGAAACAAATCGGTCTTAGTCCTCAACAACTGCAAAGTGGTTTGCACTTGCCGATTCAGATTACCTAATGTGCGCGTCCCATTCAGCTGGTTCGTGCAGCATTTATTTACTTATCAGTGGCCGTGACGTGGACTAGATTTTGAATTTAAAATACCCAAAAAACAAACATATTTTTTTATATTTCTTGTGTTGTATACTTTGCAGTTAAGTGCAACATATTACCCAGACAGTCAGCATAGCCATTCTGTTTTATTGCATCCAAGCCGGAGGTACATTGGAATATTTATATAAATTAAAAACATGATTCTAAACATATCATATCGCCTGGTGGGGGATAATTACTCCTAATAACAACAAGTATCAAAAAGACCCAAAGTCCGGGAAAGGGGTAACATATTTTCGCACAATTGTGTGAAAGGAGTAAACATTTTTGCATTTAGGATGTCTGTGGAAATAGGGTAGCGTAACCTCCCCAGAATTTGCATGCAATTGCGACGCTGTTGTGACCTGTGAATTGAGTTCTCCGGGCGTCAAAACGTATGCTAATGAATAGAATAGAATAGTACTTTATTGACACCGTAAGTTAGTTTAGTTATGGACATGAAGTTGAAATTTTGAAAACATTCAAAAGTTGGTAATGTGTTATTTGCGTGCAATTCATACGTACCGCGGTTACGTAATGAGAACAAATTCACACCTCAGGCTAGTCGCCACACGTCAAACAGGTGCCAATGGTGTGTAAAGTGAGTGTTAATTTCACAGTCGCTGTATTAGAACTTGTTTAACTTAGTGTTTTTTTTTCCAGCACAGTCTCTCAATTGGTTGAAAGTCGCAATCTAAGTACACTAGAATATTTTAGTTTGTTAATTTCATGATGATTGAATAATAACAAAATCCAATTTAGGTTGATCACTTTAACTATAGGGGTGAAAAAAATGTTTTGTACGCGTGAATGAAAGTTGAATTTCAAGTTACTACTACGATGGGCGTCTCCGTAATACATGAACGCTCTATAAACATCCGTACACCTTTTCTTCCGACGTCCATTTTATCCACCCCACTTGTTTTCACACAGGTTACTTTTCATACCGGTATTATCATTATTGTCTGTTTGAGTTTAACGAGTCACGGACATTGAAGTGGTGTCTTGTTTTGTATGTCACAGCCTCAGTCACAGTTCACAAGAATTGTGCCACAAATATGTTGCTCCATTTATCGAAGGCTCCATTTATCATTCAGTTGATAGCGAATGGTGTATATACCGCCCACGTGCCCGGGGTGGTGGTGTCTATACACGCTATGGTGGTATGCACCACTGGTACTCTGGGTGACAACTTTCCATACTTGTAATTCGGATAGACTGAAACCAGTCAAGTGAAAAAAAATACAGCTTTTGATATTGGCCGGAACACTGCGTAGACCATGGAGCCTTTTTTTAGCTCCATGCGACAAAGATTTTATCTTGATAGTTTAGTTCAGTTGAATGACCTCTGACATACTGACCCCTCCATGACATTCAGCCATGAAGCTAAATACGCCGTGCAACAATGCAGGTATTCTTACAATACACACTGCCCTCTGGAGAAAATGTCCCGTCTGCATAGTTTTCTTATTGTGCACAATTGCTGGGCAATATCTTTGAAATAGTAATCAAGTAGCCATTGTATAGTGCCACATTCCACCGACGTTACTCCATGTTTTTGTCATTTTCTAAACCAACCAAATCAGTCTGATTGAGTTCGCAGAAAATCATTGGACGCCCGAGATAACACTAAATACGTCACGGTGTATGTAGCACTGGTGAATCGCTTCGCCGCATGAACAGTTCTAGTAGACGGATCTCAAGATTTTCTTCCGTTTCTATTTCCTGTCGTAATTTACGAGTCCTCGATTATTGTGGTACCACGGTTACTAAATCTTTTTTAGTAACCGTCACGGTGGTGGTACAGAGCGTGGGATTCTATGCGTGATTATACGACTGATGAGCATTTGTAGATTGCCGACGGAAGAATTGGAAGCCTTCTTGGTTATGTGTGAAGTGAATTGAATAGCTAGAATGATCCACAACTTTTCACAGATTTGCGTGTTCTGTTTGGACACACTACATTCAATCCAAACATAATACGCGGTCTTAAAATACGCAATGCTCACACAGAAAAAAAAAACGCTCTACAGATTTGTAACTTTTTTATGTTGCGTAAGATGCCATTATTAAACTGTCTCCCATCATAACACTGCACCCCGCTGGAGTTTGAAACATGTACACGCAAGTATGAACTAGTACATGTAAATTGTTTCAACATCTTCCTTCAGTGTTTCTTTACACATACAAATACCGTTTCAATGGAACCATGGTGCGGTGTGGGTTAACACTCGGTTACTAGTAACCGTGGTTTACAGTGCTTTGAGCCATTTTAAAATTGTGTGTATTAATGACCGGGATGTGTTTACCATGGTTTCTCCTCATTTTATTTCATCAACCAGTTCTACAAGAGTATATCTCACTGATATCTTCATTGCTGGATACCATATTTGTTTGATTTCTTGCATATTGCGTATTCTATTACGGTATTTCAATCTAATTACATTTAATTTTTTTTCATAGTTGTCTAACTCCCATTCAGTGTGTTTCTCTTAGTTCCAGCAGTATATTTTCTTGTAAACGTTTTTTTTTTTTCAAATACGACATTCATTGAGCTCCCTGTATGTGGCCCGGTTCTTCAAACGTAATCTAACGTGTTCATGCATGAATGTTCTCAATAGGATCAACCCTATTGTAATACATGTAATACTGCCGTCAACGACGTAGATGTTGCTTCGAAATTGACGAGGATCGAGTTCCCCGGCTGTTACTTTTCCGAGTGCGCTCGCCACAAAAATGAAAATAGGAGATGGGGTGTATAACCAGACGCATGCTAGCCTGAATCATAGACCCTGCCAGACTAGTTATGTCATTTTTTGTTTAAGCATATTACCTCGAGCCAGTAACAGACCCCCCCCCCCATTGAGGATTTTGTCAGACACGTATTTTGCCACTGAACTCATTCCTACTAGTTTTATGAATTTAAATGACAGTGTACAGCCAACATTTCGTAATTTGCAGATTCATACAGACACTGTGACTGGAGAGCAAGGTAAAACACTGCGATACGATTTTCCGTTTTCGACAATGTGAAATTCTTTCGATTTTATGCAGAAAAATACAGTATTTTTACCAAGTAAAATCATATTTGTTAAAGTTATTTTTCATACATGAGTTGTCGAAGACACTATATGGTTTGTAATTTCATTCAACTTCTTGCAATCATGATTATTAAGACAAATTATTTATGGGTGTACGGGGAATACAATTCGTTATGGATTTTTCTTAATATAAATGTTTGAATTATCTTGACAAAATTATTTTTTTTTTCATTTTTTTTTCTGCCCCCAAAACGAAAGAATTTCATAATGTCGAAAACGGAAAGTCTTTATCGTAGTATTCAATACACCTTTACATTGTGAGGAGCCATTTCCTGACCAATATATTCACCTCAACTGCCTGAGATTTTGGTTCCATTTCGACCAGGATTAGCAATATTTGGCCTATCATTGGTCACATTTCGTCTAATGCACTTCATTTGCATCATGCTAGCATTTGCAAGTGTCTGTTTTGAATGATAATTAAGCCTGTTTTATATTTGAATGTTTTTTTCAATATCAATAATTACAATATAAACTTTGACAAATGAATTAAAAAAGATATCTATATTACCACAATTCCGTAAAACAAACATTGGCCCTCAGACCAATAAAGGGCCCGATGTTTGTCTCAATTAAGTATTAACTTCTTATTGCGTCAATATACTTGTACAAAATTAATATATTATCACAATTTCACTTCTATGCTGCTGTCGTCCCAAACAGGAAGATTACCAAGGTATTTTGCAAAAAACATGTGAGCGTCACGGTAGCAACCTTTACTTTGCATTCCAAAGCATGATTCTGTCTTTGCTCCTGCGAAAGGGTTCAATGACATGGCTATACACCAAGAATGTCTCCGATAGAGATGCAACAACCTTTAACTTTTAAGTGATTAACATAGTCGTGAAACTATTCAACCTATGCTATAGAGGTTACATGTCAAACTATTATAAGGGAGATTTGTTTGCATAAATGAGTTACACACACTGAAATACAAACAACACGATGTAAAATACGTCGTGCTACCAGGTGCAACGAACCAACAAGCAAAGTAATTTCTCTGAACAACCCAACCATGTATGACATTTCCCCTCTCATTGTTATGAAAAAATGGTGAATTTTCAAGTGAGCGTATCTTTGAATTTCTGGACTAAAGTTAGATTAGTTCGATAATAAAGTCGGTGTTTCTAAGCGTGATTTGAAAACCACGGAGAGGGGTTGTTTTAGATTTTGCAGAACGCTCGTATGTTTTATCTATACCAGTCACTCAGATCAATTAACACGTGACTTGCCGTGAAAATGCTGAAATTAAACTTATGTAAATACGCCTCGTGGGATTTGGATGTCATAGAAACGGTACTGTGTATACATCATTGTCCGAATCGCACAGTTTCGAGAGCTTGGCCGAATAAACAAACCTTGGTTGCCGAAAAAAACTTGATTTGATTTTTAAAAAATATAAACCATTCTTATCTTTTAAATGAAACAAATATTATCTAATTATCAAAACTAAAAACAATTGATGAGAAATTAAAAGAAGAGTTTACAACTGAGTGGAAAAATGAAATAAATAATGACAATAGAAAAAAATCAAATTCTAAAAATAAACTAAGAACCTACAAACTTTTTAAAACCAAAATAGAACAAGAAAACTACTTAACAATTATGAAAAATAGTGAACTTCGCAAATCCTTAACAAAATTTAGACTTGGCAACCACTGTCTGAAAATTGAAACAGGCCGGCATATAGTAGGATTGGATTTTAAAGACAGAGTCTGCAATATGTGCGACAATGACCATGTTGAAGATGAACAACATTTTGTCATAAATTGTCCTCATTACAACGAAATAAGATTAAAACTTTACATTGTAGCTAATAAATGTATACCAAATTTTGACAAATTTAGTAATGAAAATAAATTCATATCATTACTAAGTAACGAGAAAATGTCAATTCCTTATTGCAATATTTGAAAAACTGTTTTAATACAAGACAGCAGCACCTACATAAACTAAGCCAGTAACACATTCCTTGTATACAAATTTATCTTTTTTTAATGCTTTTTTGTTCCCTTACTTTTTATGTAGTTATTTTTCTTTTACTAATATCTGATTTGTAACCCTTTTCATCCCCTCCGGGGGATGTTGTGTGTTAATAAATAAATAAAAATGCTTATCAATTTGAATCGCGTGTATGGGTCCAATGCGACATATACACAATCCCGTGTAAAATGCATTTTACTAACACAAAACAAACTTTTTCGGAAAAAGGAACACAGAGACGTCTGGAAATTAAATGACATAGCAATTATATTTCCTCAAAGCAAAGGCCCGGGTCAGAGCGGAAACGTCGCCGGTTACAGCTGATTCAATGAGAACTCATCAAAACAAGGCTACATTGACGAATTAAAGTCATACACTTTCCGATAGAGGTCAGATCTGTAATGACGGGCGATAAAAAATGGTGTGTAGCAGAAGTGGCATATCATGATTTAATTTTCTTTTACTGTACACCTTTCTGTAATTGGTGTTTTGAGTCGGGGTCAAATTAGATACGATAGCCGCTACAAGTTGAATGGTTTACCCAAAAGAAAATAGCGCCCTCTAGATAGGCACAAATTGAACATCACGTGACACAATCTATAAACAACAGATTTTATTTACTGCCTATTATCGTACAGACACCAATAACGAGTATTAAAACATGAAATTGAACTTTATGACTATAAATTGTCTATAATGTTAGTAAAAGTAGAATATAATAATGATACATTCATCTGATAAACACTGACGATAATGCTGCGAAACGGTATAATAATAATATAATAACATAAAACATAATGCTGAAAACATCTTCGCGTATGAATACACATCCGACTTGGGTTCTGAGTGATGGGACCAATTGTGTGCGGGGCTTGTACGATAAAGCACAAGTTACTAGAAATAATAATAATTATTTGCCAAGTGGCTCTGTGTATAGCCAGGGACTCACTGGCCGCATACATTTAAACTAGTGGGTCTCCTATTGTGTATCTATCATAAAGAAAATCTCTAGGGGTATTTCCGGCAGGTGTCGACGCTGTATGTACCACAGGTCACTTTGATTTCGGAGCAGTTATCTTCATCGCTACCATCCAGACAATCACAAATACCATCGCACACGTGACAGTTGTCGACGCAGAGGAAATTATCGGCACATCGGAAGTAACCATTGGCCGGGTATTCGGCTTTACATTGTTCTGTGAATAGATTAAGAGTAGAGAAACATGAATTAGAAAAACAAACTAACATTCCGTCATCACTATCACATACTGGCACGAATTGTACAATTATCACGAATATATTCACGTGTGCTGCAAAGGTCATCTTGGTTCAGTTTTACACGGATTGGGAAAAAATTGAGAAAAAACACATCCTATGTCTCTTTAAACATATCTAGGAAACAATCAGACTTGTTCCTAATAAGAACGTACAAAAAAAAAAACTACTCACCATCAGTTTTCAAGCAGCCCCATTGGATTTGAAATTCATCTTTGGCAGAGATGCAATCGATAACACTGTCACATACGTAACTTCCCCACACACATGCAGGGTACCCATCGACTTGTGGACCATCGCACATCACAAAGGGCCCCTTTACTTTATCCTCAATTTCATTACAAGTATCAACGTCTGTTGATCGGAAAAAAATACACGAAAAACAACAGTTATACATAATTGTACGATTCAGACGACCGCGGCAGTGGCTAATTCATACTCAAAGCACGTCGCAAATGGTTAGCATATCAGTGATTGAGACAAGTAGTGTTTACGTCAAAGCATGGAGCTTAGCTGTATATGCACAAAAGAATGCAAATATCTTCACCCAAAGCACCGTCCACCGCAGGAAACGCGATCTTGTACTAATATCGTGCTACGTTGAAGCAATGCTTTCAGAGTGCAAATGAAATAGTTTCAACCATACATGTGACCAGTATTTGTTGTCCATCTCATACTTAAAAGTTCGAATGTTTACATACCATCAATGCTGTTTCGTTTCCCGAGTAATGCTTCTTTCTTTTGTGTCAGTTTTCTCTCTTGGATCTCAATTTCCTATTATCACAAAAATTGTATATATTTGCATTAACATCGAAGCGGACTATAATATTATATATAAATGTATGCCCAATGTAGATAATATAGGCCCGATTTAGATAATAAGCGACAATATAGACTCTAATGTAAATAATATTCAATAAATAAAAGCTCTAATGTAGATAATAATCGATAAATAAAGACTTATGTAGATAATATTCGATAAATAAAGGCTCTAATGTATATAATATTCGATAAATAAAGGCTCTAATGTATATAATATTCGATAACATAGGTTCTAATGTAGATAATATTCGATAATATAGAATAAAATGTTAATAATATTCCAGTCATTTATCATCATTTCAACTTTACTTCACAGTTAATAAATTGTTTCGTACCCGTAGTGCATCCTCCCGTTTATTCTCCACCACATTATCTTTCTTCTCGTTTTCGGTATCGTCCACTAAATTCAATAGCTTCTCAAGCATATCAGCCTTGTTGTGGAGGATTTTTGCTGACGTCACACATGTACACAACAGAAGAGCTAGTACCAATCGAGTCATCTTCAAATCAATCACTGTGGTGGCAGAAAAGTACAAGATTTGCATATGAATTACAATACGATAAGGGGTTGTTGGGTGTCAATGTTTTAACGCTGAAACAAACTTTTGGGATGTTTTGTATGAAGTTTATTTTCTCTGATTTTTGGTAGGTTGAATGTAAAATATCCAAACAAATTATAATTCCAAGTGAAAATAACGTATTCTACAGTAAACAGTAGAATTGCTTTGAAAAGGATGAATCACCATTCTACAGTAAGCAGTAAATTTGTTTTGAATGGGATGAATCACTGTTCTAACCATACACCACCATCTCTAAGGACTGTGTTTTAACTATGGTGCCCCATGCTCTAACCATGGCAAAGTAGATATGTGATTAATGAAAGAAACACGAGAACAATAAATCTTTGAATTAATAAGATCGATGACGAAAAGTTGTACTATAAGCATGTACCAGTGTTTGGGTGTGTCATTGAGCCACCTTCAAAGTAGATGCCAAAAGAAAAGAATGTTTTCAAAGCTTGTTAGCGGAGGTAGATTCTTCATTGTCTGGGCATGCTACGCAATGGAATGATCCACAATGGCTATGTTGCGAGTGAAAAGAGCTACATATTTCAGTGAGTCAGTTATTTCACACGCTAGGTAAAAAGGCGCGAGCTTTGAATGATTTAAAACAAAATTGACGGGTTCGACTCTTCATATTTTGTGTTTCGGTGTGCAAATGAGAATTACGAAGTTAGAACAACTTAGAGAACGAGTGTTTTGGCAACTAGCAACGTCAAGTTTAATTAATCAATAACAAATTTAAAGAGAGGAAACACCCAATGTGTTGTTGAAATTGGACAAACTTGGCGTTATACGGATACTAAAATCAGTATTCGTTGTTTACGAAGGTTGTAATGTTTAGTTGAATGATATCACAAACTCATACCTTAAAAATCTGAAACTGAAAACGTGTTGATCTTGTCGCTTCTTGATTCGAGTCTCCACGTTCGCCCAACGTCCACACTAAATTGAATGATCCCAGCAGTTACGCTCCGACGGAGTAGTTATGTCCTATTTTAAATCACAAAAGCCTAGTTTCGTGAGATGGTTTTTGATTGGCGCTGTTTTGCAGTCCTTCACAGCTCCTGTGCGAATCGCTGTACACGTTCGCTTCCTTCCCTTTCCATAAAAACGGTGTTAATTGTAGTGAAATGACGCTCAAATTGTTAACATTGAAAGTATGTCAAGAACTGCAATTATTGATTGCCACTCTCAATTTTGTTTTTATCATTTGGAACTCCCAGTAATTTCGTTGGAGTGCATTTCAAAACACAACAATTGACAACCCTACTAGTACATTGTTGCATGTTTCCAACAGAACGCACTGTAATAGGCAAGTCTGGTTCCGCATCAGTGGATCTACTGACCCAAGTCAGCGACAGTTCTCACACACAAAATTAAACAACTTTGCTTCGCGAGGTGCCAGAATGCTCGACCAAAGGGCAAAATTCGGAAGGTGGGGAAGTTGCAAGTTTCCTTTGATACAAATGTTCATTCTAATCCATACCCTTGATTGAAAGTTCACACACTGACACCGTGAAGGGCGCCGACTTCACGACTTGAGATCTCCGAGAATAATTCATTCTACACTAGATGAAATTGTAAACATTGTCAAATTCCATTAATTCGTGCCACATTGGATGATAGTTGAACACTTAAATAGTGATTAATTCAACCTTTTACGAAATATTAGTATGTATTGCAGTCCAGCTTAGCTCGGTTGTCTCGTTTTAACAGTCTTGTAAACTAAAAACTGCCTCCATTCACCGGGAACATAATATACCAAACACGTGGTAATTATGATGTAGTGCATGACCCGGTTCCGCTCCGTTTCCGCTCCGTTTCTCAGTACCTATGGTTGAAGGAATTGAAAGTATAAAACCGCCCATGCGTCCTCTGTGCGAGTTTAAACACCATTGGGTCCCGCGGCCTGTGATTTAGCTTTATTTCGGTGGATTTTTATATTATTTAATGGAACTGATTATAATTTGACTGACATTTATTTTATATTGCCTTCTATATGGAGAGAGTTTTTGTTGCGTGGGACACGCACCTTGGTCTATACATGGAAGGTACCTAACGTTAGTACCTTCCATGGTCTATGTCGTTCTGTTCCATTATCTGATTGTTTGTCGATAAGAGTTATGATGAAATACATAAATTTCAGTTTAGTTTAATTTAATTTATTTACCGTGCCATTAAAATAATAGTCAAATCAATTATTCGATTTTACCGCTAACGTCAAGCCCCTAAATTACTACATATATATCTATAATAATTATACATTGACGTAGTGGGTCTAGCGCGACATAAAGTCAGGCGCTCACTGACATCACAGGTCAGAACATGCTAAACTCCTTTTGCAGGGAACATCTTTTGTATGTACAGTAACTTTAATTTTGGAGTGAAACAGTCAGTGAACGTATAACAATGCGTTTGTATGTACGGAGGACACGACAGCTTTTCACAATGAGGAGACTTGCAATATACAACACAGATAGGTGTCAACCTTGAAGGTGTAGCTCGGTACATTTCTACCCACGAAACAAGACGTTATGGTAATACCTATTGTGGATTCTCTGAGTGTTTGTTAGCCTGAGGACGAAACTTGACCAGTTTGTGCAGTATGCATGTCTCCTCACGGTCGTGTGTATTAAAATATAGATGTTCCGCAGTGCCAGAATTTACTAGACAGTAATCGAACTATACTGGGCAACACCCAACAAAGAACCAATTTTACACTAAAAGTGATTGTGCTTTCAAAACGTCAGACAATAAGCACATATTACATCACATATGACGTTGTTGAGAGCAGAGCGCCATCACACGCCATGACGTCATGACCTAGTTTCGCGTATAAACGATTGAGTGAACTTGTATCATTTCAGCGATTTGGCTAAAAATGCATGAATTAGTAGAATTGTCAATCAACCCCAATATTTGCACTGACAGCGTGCAATACAGGTTAGCATACAATGCACCTTAGCATGCAATACATATGCGGCAATACACGTCAGCGTGCAAAGCACACAATGCACGTCAGATATATTATATATTAAAGATATACAGATTTATTTCAGATTAAAGATATATTTTGCACGTAACAGAATATTATTAATGCGTTCAAAAAATAAATAGGACCCATGTCTTGCGAGCAGCCACGATTCCACGAAACGGTTATAGGGGTGGCCGTCAAGTCTGTCAGTTTTTGTCTATGAGTATCTATGGCACTCGAGATTTCGATTGCCGTGAGAATCTGGTCACGACTGATTTACGCTTCCTGCACATACACAATATCACACTCTAGGGGTGTGCTAAAATGCAAAGGTAAATATCATGACAAGTTCCAACAAGAGCTCTAGAGGTTTCAAACCGCAATTTGAATATGTTTCCAGAGTTATAGGGAAACCAGGATTGTCATAGCATATTATTACAGCGTATGACACGGTGGGAGTGTTAGCTGTTGAATACATCTGGTAGCGTCGCTTACAGTGTATGTGTGGGCTTCGAATACGAAGACAACGTTCAGCACCATCAATGTGGTGAAACCGTATTGACGGTGCTTACCTGCATGATCTTACGTAAATTTCAATTGACCTCACTATGATGACGCATTGGTTGTGGAATACGGAAAAGAGCCCGAAGCATGCGCACTGCGTACACAATATGCTAATAACATTTAACGAGGTTATGACGTAACATATCTCATGAATGTTATTTGAAAGTGAAATGATTAATAGAAAGCAATTAGTATGAAACGCCGGAATCATATATTCGGTCTTGACCCCAACTCTGTCTATTGTGGTTATTTGAAGACTGTAAACGCTTTCTATCATACTAAACTGGTCACCAAATTTAAAGGGCGGCAGTCGTCATGCCGCGTCCTGTTCGATATGGGACTCATAGCGACGTATACAACGCGTGTAAAATACATTGTTTATTTACACGAAATTCGAACTCGCGCTGCGCGACGACCACCGCGCTTTAACAACTACTTTCTCGTTTTACAATACAGTCTGAATGAGATACGGCAAGCCGAAATAGGTCTCGATTGCATACAGTGCCACCAGTGGCTGTTCCCGGGTCCATGCCTCAAAGCACGTGTGGTTACAGAGATCACGAATATAATCCTCTCTATTTTGAAAAGAACTATTAATAAGAAATGTCAAGCTTTTATTTCAAACGGTTTTATTAAATGCGATACCAGAATAAGCAAGCCTTGCGAGTGTGTGTGAATTATTTTGCAAAATTTGCTGCTTTGTCTCATATCATACCAACATCAGCGAGCCTTAGATTGTGAGTGAGTAATTGGGTAGTCAGCAAGGATATATTTTCTAATTTTGCCCATACCATGCAGTGGCTTGATGTTTTACGCTTTCAGCGTTTTTGGAACTAATCAAATAAATCTGTTTAATTCTTTTTTAATTTGTGGTACTTGAAATTTGCATGATCTGTAGAAAATTTCTCACAGACCACTATATGTAACATAAGGGCTTTGTAATTTGTGAAGTTCACGAGAAATGTTAGGTAACAATGTGTCTATATTGTAGAAAAGTTGCCTTGAATAATTACAACAATTAAATTAGAATAAACACCATGATTTACAGTGCTTCAATATATCATGATTTGTTGCCAGGCCAACTGATTTCACCACTCACCACTCAAAATGTAACCCCGTAATCTTTATGTTTTCGTGTTAACAACAGTGACGACTCGTGGCGCTTTAAAGGGCGGTGGTCGCCTCGCCGCGTCTTGGTCTATATGGGACTCATAGCGACGTACACAACGCGTGTAAAATTAAATACATTGTTTGTTTACGTGGAACACGCGCTGCGCGACGACCACTGCCCGTATTCTTCCTTCGTCATGTATAATTCTACTTGTCGGACAAAATATACTAATATTTTATACATTGATTTCTACATGCGAAGGGTCATAATCTCGACCACAGACAGCCGTCACACTTTTCAACTTCGCTGCGTAAGTTTTGGAGCGTTCACGCGCCCGAGGAAAGCGAAGGTGAACCCGCGAGTGAAACACGAGTGGCTACTTTGGTTGACGGAAATATGCATTCAAATTTTAAAATATGGACGCAGGTACCTGTTTACATTGATTAGGAATGATGTGGTGTAATATTAACACGATTTTAGCAAGAATATTATCACGTTCATTCTGTTGTTGATGCTCCCGCGTTCGGAAAATTTTCCGGACATCGACAATGACAGCCTCTTTCCCATAGTTCTTTGCGCTTTACGCAGAATTAACGCGTATCGAACTGTTCGGAGTTCATGAGAATCGATTACGACAGCGCCTCACGAAATAGAACACCCAACAACGCGGGCGTTATTATGACGTCACAAATAATACTTCAAACGAAAGCTTCAAACAACGTTACCGTGTTATCACCCGTGCGACTTTGTCCGGGACGGACGTGGAAAATGTCCGCAACGAATACGTCAACGATTCATTTGACCACAGTTCCTCTATGTGATTCAACTGACGCGTTGCCCGATAACAACGATTGCGACAACCAAAGCGACAACGATGTATCGCCGGACGAACCGACAGAATCGGGGATTGCGGACGTGGCTGGCGCTGCCGACACAAAAGCAACCATAGAAAAAGAAAAACTGAGGGACTGTGAAAAAAACATTAGGAAATGGCAATGTAATAATGGATTATTGGCAAAAGAAAACCAACTTTTGCGTCAGCAGCTTCAGTTGATGAGTGAGCACAGTGATTTACGGATCGCTACCGTAGTAGCTTTCTTGTCATCATGGATATCAGGTAAGGCAACTCCGTCCAGAACAGTGTAATGAAAATAAATAAATAAATAAATAAATAAATAAATAAATAAATAAATAAATAAATAAATAAATAAACAAACAAACAAACAAACAAACAAACAAACAAACAAACAAACAAACAAACAAACAAACAAACAAACAAATAAATAAATAAATAAATAAATAAATAAATAAATAAATAAATAAATAAATAAATAAACAAATACATATTTAATTAACTAATAAATAATTAACTAATAAAGTGCGTGCTTGCATTATTTGAAATCAACGTTGAAATCTTCCGGCTGATAAAAGCTCGCCGAA